TATAAAAAAAATTATTTCAGTTAGCTGCCAAGTCAATATATCTCATTTCCGTTTAGTTTACTTGATACACTAAAATAAATAAAACTGAATTTAAAAATAAATAAATAAATAACCAAAATAAAATAAAATAAAATGGCAAAGACACCAATAATGGTATCTCAATGATACTAAAATAACACTGGCTGTGATTGATGTATAGTTTCTATATCTGTTTCAATAATTAAAATAACTATTACGATTGGTGTGATAAAACTGCCAGGCTTGTAATGCCAAAAATAGCATTACCACATCTGAATCATTTACCTGGTTTAGTGCCACATTGACCACTGTAGAATGGATGTTGCAGGTGGCTTTGCAGGCAAGTGCTGATATACAGATGGAGATGATGAACTGAGGTATAGTGAACACCAGCATTATTCCAACAGACCGCAAAATAAAATTCTGCAAAACAATCAACATGCCCATATATGAAAGCAGTTCAAGAAATAACATCAGTCAACTATACTGAGTTCCAAAAATTATACTGAAGCAGGTATCATTTTAAGCTAATTATGATAACATCTCAAAACTCCGGATTAGCCTAAGCTATCTGTCAGTAAAATATCTGTCATCATACCAAACATGTATGCCTTTCTTTCTTTTGTGGAACATGTTACATTTTGAAGACTGTTTTCCATGCAATTACAATGAATGGTAACTGGAGCTTTCAAGCTTCAGAGAAGACAAACCAAAAAAATTTGCCATTTTGTTTGAGGAAAAGACTGATATGCGTGTCAATATTTACTTGATAATTTGCCCCACTGTTGAGCAGTTTTTTTTTTTCTTTCTTTTTTTGTATTGAGTCTTGAACTTAATAAACAGATCAGTCCAATTAATGGACAAATATAAATTTGTGAATGGAGAAAAAAATATCATAAATAGGACATTGCTACATCTCTCATGAGCTCTCATGAACTCTCATGAACATGGCAAGGAAACCTGTCTGTTTCTTACACCAATCCATACAGCCAGCTATGAATGCATCAGTTGCACAGTTTTACTATATGGCACTAAACTCTTCTGGAGAGCTGCTTTACAGCTGAATCGCATTTTGGAGACACCGGTATTAAACTGAATGTAATCAACATTGAATTAAGTCGAACTGAATAATGACATTGCTGTCTTTTGAAGAACTGCTCATAGCGAACCAACACTGAACTGACTTGAGCACCATCCACCATCATTGTAATTGTATGTTACTATATGACCAGAACAGTTTTCAGAATTTCTCAATTTGTGTTCTACAAAAGAAATAAAGTATGACAGCATTTTCATTTTTCAAGTTAACTGTGCCTTTAAATAACACAGCAATTAAATACTAAAAACAAATAAATACACATAGTATTACAAAATATTGCACATTGTGCATGTAATACCTGAACATCGAACCTTGGATATTCCAATGATATTCCTAATTGTACACCCATCAGAAGAATAGCTAGTCCTGCTGTTATGGCACTGAACACATTCATTCCAAGAGAGGCTTTCACCTACAATAACAAATCCACAACATTCAGAAAATTACTCAAAGAACAGATTGAAACTGCTTGCAGAAACACATTACTTTTAAATAAAAAAATTATGTCTGAGCAGATGTCTGAGCAGGGTTGTCAAACGACCCCATTTACCTCTGGACCCTCAAAGAGTGCAAAAATGTCTCAATTGGACAGTCGTGATACACTATCTGTTATATGCATATGTATAATGGACAGTGTATAACAGACAGTTATTTTAAAATCACCTTGACAATACAACCATCCCGAACCTCTCAATTCAATTTTTTTGGTCTTTTTTTAATGAGACAATCAAAGCTTTGCTGCTAACAGATGATATTTGAACCTCACATACATGTTTTATAAACTGAGGTTAAAGTGTCATCAAAAGAATTAGTGTGGAAATACTTCAGAAATTATGTGACAAAAGAAAACATATAATATGTTGAAATCAGTGTATGATACTGTATGAACTTACCAAACATGGATTACATTTATTCTGTGCAGCAACAGACAGAGATCCAGCACTGACGTACTGAGAAAAGAACACAGGGTATGTTAAATTTCATGCTGGAAATTAAAATTAAAAGGGAAATAAAGCAAAACTTACTTACAATGAAAGATCCCCAGTAGGTGATGCCACTATTGACAACAAATTTGGGATAATAGTCACTGATGGTGAGACGCCAAGTAAGTACAACCCCAAGTAAGAAGACAGTCACTCCAATCATTATCTGGACAATCTAGATGACAGGTATAGGTTATGTTTTATTTATGATGGCCTACCATTGATGTTTGGATATACAAAAAATAAAAGCTATATTGATTATTATTGTACACAGTCTACATTGAATCAAACACATATCTTTACACTAGGGCTCTTATGACAAGAGATTTAATTCATTTTAAATGATTTAGAAGAAATACAATTCTAAGAATGTTCCCAAAACCAGATATCATTGTAATTCATCATTAAACGCATTACCCCCAGAGCCTTTGGTTGTGCTTTGAAAAATTCTTTAAGAACCGCATTGTGTTTTATTGTCTCCTGTCCATCAACATAAATAACACTGTCATTTGCCTGTGGATTTATTTGGATGACAACTGTAGCTTTGTCAGTTGAGAGAACCTCTCTGGTTTCCATTCTATAATTTCCCCTGTAATAAACATATTCATGTTAATGTTATTCAAGTTCATTAAGAAAGGTGAACAGTTATGAATATTTAAAGATGACAAAAAGATGTGTTCTTATAGTTAAATACCTCTTTTGTGATCCTGATATATGAAAAAAAAAAAACTGTGTAAACATTGCCATTGTAAACATGCCAATATAATCATAATCATTGATTGTCTAAGATAAATAATTAATTTACATATATGTGTTACTTTTGACAAGGACACTGTTGGAGATTTTCCTCTATTTTCAGAGATCAAAATTTACATTCATATTATTTTGAAATGGGATATATTATTTTTGTAGCTTAATGTTGAAAGAAATTATAAAATATTCAAACTGAGTTTTTAGTACAAAGCAATATATGGCTACTGGTACGAAATATAATATTAGTCAGAACATTATATACAATTTTTGAAACACAGACAGTATACAAAATGTAAAAAGAACATGAATGTTAATTGATAAAAAATACATATATTTTAAAAAGCATTTTACCTGAAATGAGATTTGTTGATGTCTGGTAGCTCTTTTGCTGTATCTTTGTGCGTGTGGACTCTGTAAAGGAGGGGCTACAAGTTTCTGTCGATTGCTACCTTCCTCTTAAAATACAAATCGCTTTACACATAGATTGAAAAATGCTCTGTATCTCTATGAATAATAGAGAATGCATTATTAAGATAGATGCCTACACATTTTGCATAAGCAAACTACGGATACAAAAATTAACATTGTTTATTCCACATAGTTTGCTTCCGCATGATTTTTCAGCGATTTTAAATAAAACAAATTTCATGTTAAGCATGAGACAAAATGAATGTTTTTAGGCAAGCTGTTTAATTACAGTATTAAACAACAGCATATAATATTAATATTTGATATTTTCATAATGACTGACTTCAACTGTAGATTTAAATGACTACATTATTATTGGATATGCACTTTTTTTCTAATGAAGGCAATCATACAATTTTAAACTGTAAAAAAAAATGCACATATAACATTTAACAATAGACAATAACATAATTGCTAAATTGTCAAAATAATAATCACTTAAAATGTTTAAATTGTGCACTAATTATTGACATCAGTTTCTCACACCATACTCAGCAAAGCAGAATTAGGAATATTTCTATGCTGGGTGTCTCCAACAGCTTTTGCCATGGGAGTCAAGAAAACCATAATTGATTTAAGTAATCATGCTTTGTGACGAGTGGCAGAGAGCGGAGCGAGGCCGGTGGAGTTTGATGATAATGAGCGACACCTGCGCCACTCACCGGTCTCGAGTCCCACGGCACGGAGGAGCTCTGGAAGGATAAAAGGAGGAGCGACGACAGTGGAAGAGGAGAGAGGACCAGGCCTGGACTTTATTTGTGTTTTGTGTGAGGCAGTCATCCGTGAGGGGCTGCAGCTTTCCTTTTGTGTTTGTTTATTTTGTTATTAAATGGTTTAAATGTTGGCTGGTTCCCGCCTTCTACGTTCAACAGTTCTACAAAATGTTACATTGGTGCCGAAACCCCCCAGGAAGGAGGGTATGAAGGTATTTTTGGTGCAAAACAACTGAGCATCTGTGACAGCGGAATTTGTGGTTGTAGAGAATAGCCACACATGTGTACCAGTAAATTTAAAGTCAAAGACAAAAGCTACAAAAAAAAAAAAATTCTCTCCCACAAACACAACACAACAGTTACACCTTCTCAAATCCTTCATTGCAGGTGCACAAATCCTATTCTACGAATCACAAATTAAGAAATGCATGCACTCGTTTTGCTACTATTGCTGCAGTGAATATGATGCAAAACACATTCACACACCTGCATCAAAAATGTAAAGTCATTCGTCAAAGGACGAATTTTGTACATCCGCAAATCAGTATGTAAAATCTTGCAATGAGATTTGCACACTTGTAGAATGTTTTCTTGCATATGTTTTTTTTCTTTGATGCTTTTTCTAACCACTTCCTTTAATGAATATATACACCGTGCAGTGCCATGATTCCTTTTAAAACCAAACTGATTATCCGTAGTTATCAAATATTCTTTGAGCCTGTCCATAAGGACACACTCAAATACTTTTGAAATTATAGTAGCCAATGCATTTGGCCTATACTTTTCTATACTAGATATTTTACCTGTTTTATCTTTGATTACTGGCACTAATAACACAGATAGCATAGATTCAGGTAACACACCATGTATTAAAAATCCCGTAAAACACAAAGCAATTAACACTAAATTCTTTTGACAAGCATGCTTCAAATGTTCCACTGTTATTTGATCTGGACCACATGATTTATTCAAAGCCAATTTTTCAATCGCAAACCTAACCTCAACAGGTCTAAGCATCAAACCATCATTAAATGGAATATGGTTAACTTCATATTTTTGTCTTTTAAAATATCCCCATAATATTTTCTCCACAATTTAACAATATTCTCAGCCCCAGCAACCCCATCAATACTAATTGGCAACGGTACTTTACTATTATTAAGAACCTACACTTCTTTCCCAAATTCACACATTATTATGCTGAAGTTTCTTGGCCATTGATTTTGATCTCATGGTCACCTCATTTCTTTTAATAAACCGAAAGGAATATTTAAATTTAGCATTGGCCTGTTTCTTTCTCTCATATTCTGGACCAAACCTATAGCTTTACCTGTTAATAATTTTTAAATGCTTCTCTAGCCTCCAAATGCAATTCAGACACATAATCATTCCATCCAACCATTAGATAATCATTTTTAGCTACCTTTTTATAGTAAGGTCTGCTTGCATTAACGAAATAAACAAACACAAAAGTACGTCCAAATGTCATTCTGGTTTGTTTTCTAAAACTGATAAGGAAAATCAAAACCTTTAAAAGAACACCAGCTCATGTGTCTGTATTCAAAATACAAACATTACATGTATTTAATCACACCAGTTACTCATTATCTGCATTTTTAATTGTAACAACAGCCATAGGCCATATAAAGATTGCCCCAGCAACCCCATCAATACTAATTGGCAACGGTACTTTACTATTATTAAGAACCTACACTTCTTTCCCAAATTCACACATTATTATGCTGAAGTTTCTTGGCCATTGATTTTGATCTCATGGTCACCTCATTTCTTTTAATAAACCGAAAGGAATATTTAAATTTAGCATTGGCCTGTTTCTTTCTCTCATATTCTGGACCAAACCTATAGCTTTACCTGTTAATAATTTTTAAATGCTTCTCTAGCCTCCAAATGCAATTCAGACACATAATCATTCCATCCAACCATTAGATAATCATTTTTAGCTACCTTTTTATAGTAAGGTCTGCTTGCATTAACGAAATAAACAAACACAAAAGTACGTCCAAATGTCATTCTGGTTTGTTTTCTAAAACTGATAAGGAAAATCAAAACCTTTAAAAGAACACCAGCTCATGTGTCTGTATTCAAAATACAAACATTACATGTATTTAATCACACCAGTTACTCATTATCTGCATTTTTAATTGTAACAACAGCCATAGGCCATATAAAGATTATTTAATATACATATTACAACCAAGGTCTAAGGAAAGGTAGATCTGCACTGAAATGAAATAAACCAATCAGGTTGAAGGTGGTTAATAATGGAATATTTGTGGTTGCCTTATATTTCCTTTTCAAACTGCTAGCTGTACCTTTGCTGTTTTCGTTCATTTGAAAAACATTTTTTTATAAAGCCTTAATTTGAGCAGACTTTTTGACTTTGCCACATCAGTCCTTTCTTTCTTTTTTTTTTTAACATTGACCAAATTAGAATACCTTAAAGAACAAGCATAAGTCATGTGAGCAACATGCCATATCAAACCATTTACTCTCTTTGCTGAAAAATTGGTCCGAAGCATTGAGAAGTGATGCAGAGGATGACCTGAACACACACACTTACCAATGATGGAGATGTGTGTGTGTGTGTGTGTGTGTGTGTGTGTGTGTGTGTGTGGTCAAGGTATTCCCTACATTGTTGGGACCAAATGTCCCCACAAGGATAGTAAAACCTGGCATTTTTGATGTTGTGAGAACAAAAAAAAAAAGAACAAAAATAATTGTGTGAGCAAAACATTTCGGTACCCATGAGAAAACAGCTTATAAATCATACTAAATGATTTTTAATGTAAAAACACACAATGTTTTTTTGTGAGAGTTTTGTCTAATATACAGCAAAAAGTACAGTATAAAACAGTATAAAATTGTCTATAGAAAGTCCCCCTAAAATAGGTAAACCCAACTCTGTGTGTGTGTGTGTGTGTGTGTGTGTGTGTGTGTGTGTGTGTGTGTTTGCTGACACATTAAAGTTCAGTCTTAGAGCTACTGCCCCCAGATGGCAAATTTAGATAATACAAGTTAGAACTAAACTTTGTGTCTTTGGGTCATTTTTCCAATAATAATAATAATAATAATAATAATAATAATAATAATAAATGTTGTAAAAATATATATGCACAAATATTCCAGTTCTGTTACAAATACATGATTTTTAAGTCATCAGAAGCGACAATATGAGATATTAATTCCTTGCAACCTTTGGATTAGTCTCTCCTCACAGTGACTCAATATCCTTGGGAAATAAGAGACTAACAAGATCCACACACCATAAAGACTGTTTTAAAGGCTATACTGTGATGAATAACAAATGGAAAAGCCCACTGTCAGACACTTTAATAGTCTAGCAGTAGGGAAAAAAAACGGTTGCTTTACAATAAAGCATGTTGTAATTGACTTATTGTATAATTTTTTATATCCATTTCATAAAATATCAATTTCAACAATAAAAGAAAACAAAAATTAAAGACAGTTAATCATTTCAAAGAAATGTTGTCATTTAAGTAAGTATAGCAGCAATTAAAAACTAAAATCAGATCGCAAACATACTACATTAATACAAGTATTGCACATTATACATTTAGTACCTCAAAAACAAACACATAGTACAAATGAGGCAGATTTAATACTTGGAGGTCTCTGAGCCGAGTCTCATC